ACATCGTAACGTAGACGTATGTAGTACTAGCCGTGAGTAATTGGTGTTTATATCACGAATCGAATTCACGAGCTCTCGTGAAAATTCAACTACCATTCACCATTAAATGTTACGATCGATCGATGGATCGGTCGGTTGGTCGGTCGTTCGGTCGGTCGGTCGATCGATCGATCGATCGATCAATCGATCTATATTGATTTAGATATCTCTGGTACAACGTATCGAGTTACACTACTGTGATTATTATTACTATCTTTTCTTCTTTTTTTTTTCTTTTCTTTTTTTTTTCTTTTTTTTTTTTTTATCTTTTTTCTTTTTCTTTTTTTTTTAATTATTTTACGTAACACTTTGATCCTTTCGCGATTAGATAAGCTACCTTATGTATATATGTATATAGGGTGGGGTACTATAAGTAGGGGAAGAAAAAAATCATGACTTTGATATCGATTCGTTGTAAGAATTTCACATATGAATAACGAACGAACGTACGTACGAACGTACGAACGAACGACATACGATAGAAATTAAGACGACATCGATCCAATGAAGTTAGAATTAATCGAGTATCGCTCGACATCTATTAAATCGCGTATATCGTAGATGTTATAATAATTTTAACTACGGCTCGTTAAGCGATACGATTTTAATATGACGATGTAAACTAAAGTCGGTTCGTTCGTTCCCTATTAACTTCCACGTAAATTTTATTTTATATCTTTTTTCTTTAACGCCCGATATTTAAATCGACATTATCATTATTTTACATTAGGCGATATATCATATCTACTCACTTTTTCCTCTTTTTCTATATAAATATATATATATATATATATATATATTATTTCTTGCTTTTCTTTCTTTTTCGTTTTTCTTTCTTTGCTCTCAACTATATCAACAATATATAACAAGCGTTGTGCGTATCTAATTGTAATTATTTGTGTGTCATTAAAAAAAAAAAAAAAAAAAAAAATGTTTCCATCGAATCGAATGGAATATGATTGCGAATATTATATTTATTGATTTAAAACGACATATTCGCGAGAAATTAAAGAGAACGTGATACGACAAAATAAATTCAATAATTTCATTTAACGATGAATATATATAGTTGATACAATGTTCAATTCGATCGCCAATCACCCATATAATAAGATAGCTTGTATAAGTGACCATAGTATATATATATATATATATATATATATATACATATATATAATATTGTATTTGTACAACCTTCCTCTTACCATGCGATCGATGGTATTCAGTTCGAGCGCACTCGAAAAAAGATGAAATCGAATTTCGTGGGTCACCAAACATCATCGTTTCATTCTCTCCTATTTTACTACCTTGCATTTTTATCGACTCGAAACGAACCGCATGGAAAACTTGACGGAAAACTTGACGGAAAACTTGATCTTATTACGATCTGTAGTCGTGTGAACTGGGCCGTTCAATGTCTCTCGAACGGATGCTGAAAGCCCGGTACAGGTTACGCGATATTTGATCTCCTTCGAGAAATTTACCACGCTACCGTAAGACGTAAAGAAAGAGAAAGAGAACCACGGAAGAGAGGATGAAAAGAAGAGAGAGAGAGAGAAAGAGAGAGAAAGAGAGAAGGTAATTGTGTTCGCGTATTAAATTCTTCGATGATATTATCTGGAAAATAATGAAAAAATTAAAGGATGAAGCTTAAATGAAAAATTAAAAAAGTCAACTTTTCCGATGGAAATGAATAAACGAAATTCCTCCTGGCCCTCCCCCTCTTTCTCTCTCTCTCTTTTTATTTTTCTGGATGAATGAACCAATTTTACGATTAAAAAATAAAAATAAATTGATAGGAATACATAGGAACGAACAAATTACCTCATCTCTTATTTTTCTACGTCGAATATAATCGTTCTATTTTCTCTCGATTTTCATATTCGAAAATACGGAAACGATGGTTGAAAACTTCCTCCAATATTCCTCTCTCTTTCTCTCTCTCTCTCTCTCTCTCTCTCTCTCTCTCTCTCTCTCTCTCTCTCTTTCTCTTTTCTATTTATATTAATACTCCGAACACGTATCTTGGATTGAATTTTTGTCAGAATTTTGTTTAACCCGGAAAATGCAACTTCATGAATTTACTTCCGGACGATCTCAGGAATTTAAAAGTCTTTCAATATTTCTTTCTCTTATTTCCTTTTTAACGTGGATATCAAAATTATAAAAAAAAAAAACGAGTAAGAGCTCTTATACCTGACCTAAAAAAAACACTTCACGATATGTATATAACAAAAATAGATACAATGTGATAAGACGAAACTACGGGTGAAAGATATACGATGTAGAAAAAATCTTTATTATTATTATTATTATTATTATTATTTTTCTTTTTTGTTTTTTTCTTTTTTCTTTTTTTTTGTTTTTTGTTTTTTGTTTTTAATTTTTAACACAACAAGCATTGCACCATTAAAAGTAACGTACGAAGTAAATAAAAATTCTGAACGTATTCTCTCGTTCT